GTTGGAATATCATGAAAAATATAGGTAATAATTTAAAAATGTACTGTATGTACAACTTGACAATCAAAATCATATCATTTGTCTGTTATATCATACWTTAATTTTTGATATCTTTTAAAAYATGTTTTTCATGGTAAGACATTGAATATTACTTTTTTATAATTTCCTGGTGTTATTAACCAATTATTATTCATTTTTCTCACAAAGCAGATAAGTGGGGGAAGTAGGAAAAAAAATATGATAAAGTACATAGTTATGTGGCTTACATCTAAAAAATCAAAAATATATATAAGCAATTTTCTGTGTTATTGACATTTGTAATTTAAATTAAAATAAAATATTTAATAAATTATTTAAAATTTTCAATTACATTTTTATAATATGAATAATTAAATTATAAAAGAAACTATAATTACACTTGGTTCTCAGATATGCATTTACAAAAGTTTTTAAATATTTAATACAAATTATATATTATGTKATTATGTTGCCCAAAACACCCAATATCCCATCAGAACATTATAATTGATGTGTAAATATACTATTATATATTATGTATCTTAACAGCTTTGTTTTGTTTTTGTTATTCCGTTAGGAATACCTCAACACCAAACAGGTATGCTTTGATAAGAATGAATAATTATTTTTTCATAACTTTGTCTGCACGGTTTTAATATTTCACATTAAAATTAATATGTATTTATATAATATATTAATATATACATACATATATAATTATTATGACTATAATATTAAATTAATTTCTATTAAATTGTTTATACTCTTAAATTTTTATAAGTTTATGTTATTATTGAGTTTTATAATTATATTATAAATATTACTTTGGCTAAATCATTTTCCGCTTTTAATTTAAAAACCTTACTATTTCTCTCTAAATCATTTTAGATTCTGAGCGGAGCAAGGAATGTATTGATTTTACCATGATGTGTGTTTTTTTTTTGATTTGATTCAATCAGATTTTTCACTAATGTTCATATTAGGTTCTTATTATCAAATAAAAATTAAGCTACATTCAAATGCCCATCAGTCATGATCACGATCATCGGCGGGCCCACCTAGATTTTCTCGGTGGCTCACCGGCCGAATCAGGCCCTGTCATGATGGTCTAGACTTAAGTTTCTAAGCGATTTGATGAATGTATTGGTTTTTCAATAATATTCTTTTTTGGGTGTGTCTTTTTATATCAGAAAAATGTTTGAATCTTTAAATTTGAACTTTGAGGTGGTTTCGGGWAGAATATTGGATCTAATTCATGAATTGGGGTGAAAGAGTGGTCAAATATATAAAATTATTTTCAACATAATATGCATATTCGGGAAAACCCATAAAAAAAAAYACGGAAAAAGTAGAATATTTAAGCAACACCTGTTTTCGACCAAATCGATCTTGTTATTTTCCTGAAATTCAAAAATGAAGGACCTAAATATTACAATATAATAAATTGTATGTTATTTCTAATATTCATACAGATGTTTGAAACTTTTACAAAATATTTATTTTAGCTGTTTTAGGACCAATATAGTTTTCAAAATATATTGGGTCTATTAAGCAATTTAAAGACGTTTTAAAATGTTAACTTCTTAACTTTTAGATTCTGAGCGGAACGAGGAATATATTGATTTTACCATGATGTGTGTGTTTTTTTTATTAATTAATTAATTAGTTTTTTTGTGTCTGCCATCACGTTTTGGGGCAGTAAAAGAGCTTCGATTTTCGACTTCAGTACCTTGTTAGATCAGA